AAGTTTTATTTCCTTTTCAAATAGTTTTTATTGAATTTTAAAAAATCATAACAAGTTTACAGAAATAATAATAATTTAGTGAATATTAAATATTAAGAACGTGGTAGCGAGATCTCCTTCCCCTCTAATAAAAGAAATGTAGCCGAATGGCTGATTCTTAGATATTTAGTATTGGTATTTCCGGCTACATTTCTTTTATTAGAGGGGAAGGAGATCTCGCTACCATGTTGGCACTGGGTGATGGGAGTTGGGGGATATGCTATCTGTAACGGATCACCTGGCACCCCGACTGGGTACCTCTGTTGAAGGATGCTCCTAGCACTTCCTGAGGACTCCAAGCACTGTAGCAGACACCACAACCACTGAACCGGAGAAGCATACGAATGCTCTCAAGCATTTGAATGCTGTAAACAGCTGAACAGGAAAAGCATATGTAACGGAGCTCCTTGTACTCCGACCGAGTACCCTCCATTGAAGGATGCTCCTAGCGCTTCCTGAGGACTCCAAACAGTGCAGCAGACACCACAACCACCGCAGACTCCACAACCCCCGTAGCTTAACTGGAGCCTCGCCGTCTTCCGTCCACCCTGGATCGGCTTCTGTCCTCCAGGACCGTGTGGGGAAGACCTCTCTTCCAGGAGAGCGTAACAGGAACAGCTCTTAAAAGAGCAAAGTGATTAAAAGCTCAAGGGAGTATGCAGAGCATAGCAATCCCCAGTGTGATATAGCAGTTCCCTCCAATAACGAGACCAGGCTACGTATTGAGGGTCAAGAAGATCTGTATTACTTGGCACCAAAGGGCCTTCTTTTATGCAGGTTTAACACATACAGGACCGCCCACAGGAGTTTACAGAACAACCAATAAACACGTAGTATACAGTACAAGCACTCCCATACATCTCCTCCCCTCTGCTTGGGAGATAATTGAGTTTCTTACTGTATCTACTCAATTATCTCCAAGCTGAAAAATAATACTTTTTATACGTTTTTATAACTCCCTGATTTTACATCACATACGAATAAAACGTATATTTATGTGATCAGCATAACTTGGGGAGCAACATATGTAAAAATCACATGAATCCGTCCAGGGGTTAAAAAGTTAGGTTGAGGTCCCTTTATTATCAATTGCAAGCATGGCTTTTCCTTCCCAAACCAGTTCCCACTGGTCTGGCAGTGTCCTTGGGACAACTCCCTGCTGGAGAACAATGGAGCTGGGGGAGGGGAAGAGCCTCACCTTCCCAGGGATTCAAAGGGGAAGAAAAAGTGTCCAAAAAGTTTCCATGTGTCCATACACTGTTTTTAAAAGGGCCAGCACTGTACAATAAATATATTTTACAAAATATTAATAACTTCCAAAATATACATGCCATTCACATACAGTTTCAGAATCAGCATGCTTGAAATATACACATACTCAAAAATCAGGGCAATCGGTTCAGGGGTTAAAAAGTTAAGGCAAAGTCCTATTTGACCAAATGAAGCATGGTTTTTCTGCCCAAAACCAGTTCCACAGAGTCTTCTATCCTGGAGATAATTGGGAAGTAATCCAATTATCTCCAAGGACAGAGGCAAAACTCCATTAGCCACATGGTAGCAAAATACAATAAAATACATAAAACGGGTACATTCAACATATCCCCAGATAGCTTAGATCTAAGTGCAAATTATTACTGAATGGCGCTCAGATCACATACATACAGTTCAATTGCCAAGGAGCCAAAGTCTTTCACATAGTCTTTTGTTATACGAATGGGCTCCATGGCATAGCTATCTGGGGCAACACTGCTCACATACCGAATGACCCGGCTTTCGGGTCTTTGCAGGGGAAAATCCAGCATTTCAACATGGAGCCATAGTCACAGGGCAGGAGGCTGGCAATCAGTCTTCTCCAATGGTTCCGCCACACTATCTAACTGAGTTTCCTGGAAACTGAGACAATATATATTTTTCCCCTGAAAATCCCCGTGCTATTACCTGACAGGGGTAGCAATGTTTAGCATAAATCTCCCTTTTTGTTCCCCCCTGTTCCCTAACACTGTTTGTAATATAGGGTTTTTTTAACCCTAGCTTGATTAAAAGTTATATTTTAATTCATTTCTACCAGTTTATATGGGGTTGCTTCAATAGTCTAAAAGCTTGAAATGGGTATTCCTCAGATCTATCTATTCCCCATCTAGCTTTTTTGTTCTCTTTTTCTTACTTTTTTCTTTCTATATATTTTTTTTTTACATTATACAAAACTATATAGAACAATATATTGTCACGGTTTACATTTTCCATTTTACAGTCTGTTCAGCCACATTTTGTCATTCGTTAGCAATTTAAATCATCTTATATAATCAGAACAGTGGTTATCCGCAACAGTAAATAAACTTACATTTCTATGTACAAATTTATATTGCTTATACGAATCCCAGTTCTCAATCTATTGATTTGTGTTCCCTCCTACCTGATCTATATATAAGACTAGTTAATAATACTTTTAGTCAAAATGTATATACAACATTTTGCATAGTGACTCTAAATCAATTATAATCATATAAACAAATAAATAAACAAACAAGCAAAAAATAAAAAGCTACTGTGATAATCATTTGTTCCATAAATTTACATTCACATTAATTTGTATCAGATCTATCCAGACTCCTATATTGGTGCTCTTCCACTTCTTAGACCCCTGTTAGTTTAAAAACGTATGATGTTTTGCAGCACCCCTTTAATGAATATTAAATATCTTTATTCATAGAATCTGATTGATTAATTGATTTCTCCTTGTTTCCTCCTTTTTATCTTTCTTTTTCACCTAATTTCCGCCTCATTTCCACCTCTCCCAGGTTTTTTCCAAAGTTTTCTTGTTTACTTGATATCCTACATGCCATCTCCTCGTAAATTTTAGTATTGGAAATCTTTTCCTTTATTACATGTATTGATGGTACTTGTGTGGTTTTCCATAAGCTAGCTATAGCATTTTTGTGGCCATTAAAATATTAAAATTATCGTTGCAGATTCCTGTTTTAATAGCCTTTCTGGCATAATATGTAATACATAGATATCTGGTTGTAGAGGCACCAATATATTTCTGACATTAAATATCAATTGTTGAATATGTTTCCACATAGCAGTAATCATTTTACAGTACCAAAACATATGGGCCATGGACCCCTCCGCTTCCCCGCACTCCAGCATATCACCGTATTCCCTGGGTATATACTTGCTAATCTTTGGGGTGTCATATACCATTGTAACCACATTGTATGTGTTGCTTCTATATGTTGTATATTGTGAGTGGCAATCTTGGTCAGTCTCATAGCCCTATACCACTGCAAAGACTCACATTTATTGTTTAATTCCTCATCCCATTGTAACATAAAAGACAGTTTGTCAGGTTTTATTAAATTTAATAATCCTAACAATAATAACATATTGAGAGAGGCTTGTCCTGGGATCGCACCCCTAAACATCACTTTCCAAATTCATGTACCTCTGATATTTCCATCTCTACCACTTGAAGTTTTATTACGATGTGTTTCACCCTGAGATATGTATACAGCTCCCTGTTGTGTAGATCCAGTGGCGTAGCAAGGGATGGATGGGGGGCAGTCCATCCCGGGCGGCACTTTTGTGGGGGCAGCAAGGTCCCTCCTCCCACCTTCTGAGGGAGACCTAGCAGCAATCCTGCTCTGCTTGCCAAGTCTCAGTGCGGTGCAGATAGAGGGGAAGATGCGGGGCAAGGAGGCTAAG